GGGGCCGGGGCCGCTCCGCCCTCAGCCCCCGTCCCACCACCGCCCTTACAGCGGCCCTGGGGGAGGGCTCAGGCTGCTTCGGGGGCAGAGAACGCTGCTGGTTAAAATAGGACGGGGAGGGCGAGAAAAACAAACAAAAAAACAAGGAGGGGAAGGGGGGAGAAGGGGGAAAAAAGCGAGAAAAGGGGAAAAAAGAAAGAAGGGGAGAAAAAGGGAGAAAGAAAAGCAGAGGGAGAGAAGTGGGAGAGACAGGGAGGGAGAAAAAGGGGAGAAAAAGAAAAAAAAAAAAAAAAAAGGAAAAAGGGGACCGAAAAGAAGAGGGGAAAAGGAAAAGGAAAAAAAGGAAAGAGCAGAAAGGGAGTTCTAAACATCCTGCAAAGATTTAATGAAAAGCCTGCTCTGCCCACAGGCAGATGTTAAGCTCAAACCACCCGGCAGCTGCTGCCAGCATTGCTGCATTCCCCCCCCCATCCATCACCATTTCACTAGTGACCATAAATAAGTCACTTCACTTTTCGGTGGGGGTTTGCCAGCCATCAGAGTTTGCTGGCCTGTTAAAAAGTTGGCAGGGTGAAGTTCATAGCATCAGGTGATTGCTCTCAACATAAGGACAACCAGCCACAGACATGCTTGAGCCTCAATCGAAGCCTCAGCATGGTCATGGAGAAGACTCTCACTGAACGTGAAACGCCCCAACTCTGAATACCATTTGCATATTGAGTGAAATGTACGTTTCACTTACATACACTATGTATTTGAAAGTACATACATGCTACAAAACAGATACAGTTCTTTGAAAAAAGTTGATAGGAGGTAAGGTGGCTCTCCTTCAAGATCCTATTTACCTTGCCACACTTCTACACACGAAGATCTCACTGCTACCCAGTACCAGCAATATTTGTGCACGCAAACACTTCTCTCTGAAGGCATCTTGATTTACACTGAGTTTACCAGGTATAGTAGTGTAACTCCCAGCAGCCTCACTCCTTTTTTTTTTTCCTCTTATGTATGTAATTGCTTTGTCAACTTTATTTCAAGATAAAGTAGGGCCTGAAAATTTATGCCCAGAAGATGGACATCATTTAGAACTACAATGAGATGTTATGCTAGAAATGCTCAGTAGCCTCAGCTAATGACTTATCACTGGAATGCTGACAGCTTCGTAAAGACACATGAGTTTTTTTTCTATCCTCCATCATGGAGATGTGACTGCAGTGTCACTGCCAAGCAAATTTTTGCTGCAGCCCATGAATTTATGCCTGCATCTGGTTATTTTCAAAGGGCTCATATGTTGAGAAAAGAGGGAACTCAAAGTCCAGCCTGCAGAACAGCTCACTTCCAGCAGGTCATAAAATAGCTGCTGACTTTCCCTTCTCCACTCACTCGGTATCAGGCCACGGTTTTGGAGATAATACACTATTGCCACTAAAAGACACAGTTCTGTCCTCCCCAGGGACTACCTCTCCATTGGACCAATTTTCTGCTGTAGTGTCAGGTCAGGAAGTTAATCTTGATTAGAACCTAGGGAAAAACCTAGGCAAAAAGAGAAAACAGAGCAGTGTTTTGAGTACCTATTTGTATAACCCAAATACTTGACTTGGGAGTAAAAGGATGGAGCAAAGTGAGGCACCAGGGCAAGAGCAGCAGAGCTGTTAGCCTGTGAAACTGCAGCCACAGGCTTAGATACTCTTGCCTGCACTTGCCTGGTTCTTTCCCAGATATAACTGTCTTACCTAACGATCAACACCATTTTACTTGTGCTTACCTTTACTCCCTTTGTTTCTATCACAGCAGCTTAAATTCCCCCTTGCACTCTTGCAGGAGACTGTGTTTTGGGGGATGAAGCAGCAACAGACCCAAGCTGTGAAGGTCTCTCACTTGATGAACATCTTTGCAGTGTCCCTGCCACACCACTACAGTGTCCCTAAGATTACTTCATGAAATCAGGCATAGCTTATTCTAGATACCTTCTCTAACAAGTTTTAGAGTTGAATTGACCATTAAATACAAAGTTAATTAAGTTTACAGCTACACTACATGCAGCAGAGATAAAGGACAAATCTAGCAGTTCCTCTTCTATTTTACTAATGCATACAGAAGTTAACCATTTAGCATAGTACTTCTACCATGCTCTTGAATATGTATTATTTTAAACAGAAAATAGATGACATTCCAAGAACTAGTGAAAGCTAAACTAGCAAAACAGGCATAGAGAACAGAAACTCTTCCTCAAAGAATGAAGACAGGTCACCTTTGCAGAATCAGAAACATCTTGCTTCAAAAATTAATCAATAAGCATTTAAAAACTTTTAGCTATTATAGGCTTTGGCAGGAGTAGCAAGTTCAAGAGCTTCTCTCCCAGAACCAATCTCCACAGAAGCCAGCTAACCTAGCACTGTTTTCAGCAGAAACACTTCTGAGGAACTTGCTGTTACAGATGTGATAAACAGGAAAAGCCCAACCAGGCTATGCTCCCCACCTGCCCCTTCCCCAGTAAAATTCCTGAATAGAAATATGGTAAGAGAATCCCTCTTACCAGCAAAATCATGGAAGCTCTGACCTGAGACACATCACACAGGAAACCACAGCATGCTGTTGTGCATTATTTATTCTAAGTACTCTGAGGTCTGATCAGAAGGGATAAACATAAAGAATACTTTAGATTTAGAATTTAAAGCAAATTCAGTATGTATATTATATAAACTTCTATTTACATAAGGCATCAAAATTGCCCTTTTTAACAAAAGGGTCATTTTCCCTTTTACCAATACTTTGGTGAAAGAAATGTCACATGTAGTAGACTAGTATTCACTGGTATACTACTACTGAACAAGCAAGTACAATCCAACATACAAGATGAAAAACCAAACACAAAAGATCTAAGCATACTATTTCATTAATCACTCTGTAAAACAAATAATCACTCTGTAGAAAAAGAATTAAGGCTTGTTTGCATCACAATAATGATCAATCATGCATCATTTACTCCCACAAAGAATAAAATTCATTTCCAACTGGAGCAGGAACAGCAAAAGAAGTAGTCTGGTATAATCCCCATATTGTCTACATCAAAAAACAATTTGGCATCTTAGAAAGTAGATTGAAAAGTAGGGGGAAAGAGAGAGAAAAACAGAAAAGGGCCTTGCTTCAGAACCCCTATTAAGCATTTCCAGTGTCCTTCTGCAGGAACCCTTCAGTTTAAAAAGATAAAAACAGGACTTTCAAAGACTGATCTAGAAACATATTCTAAAGACTAAGGTTATGGTTCCATTGATCATGAATATGAAATATGTAGAGAAAATACATTGTTTGGAATAATGAATTCCACACTGAGATCCCCAAGTAAATGGCATATATACATTGAGCTGAGCCTGTTTAATAAGTCTGATCTATAAAAATGGTAAACCTGTATTATTTTTCGGCCTGATTTAATAATTCCTGAGTTTTAGATCACTGCTGAGCCACAGCAGACAAAACTCTGAATGACGTAGTGAAAAGTTTTACAAATAATTTTCAACATTAGTACAGACTTTTTTTCAGCAACTTTCAATCGTCAATAAAAGTCAGTCTTCCAGGTCCTTCATTTTTCATCCACCGCCGATATCTCTTCCATCGAGGATCCAAGGCCATCTTCTTCTTTAACTCCTCCTCTTGTTGTCTTTTATAGACCTGACAGACAGACAAAAGTTTTTAGTAAGGCTGAAGAAACAGCTTAAGTGAAACTCAAGGAGGGGGTGTAAGCATTCATAGTTCAACTGGCTTATTGTTTTTACAGAAGACTGAATTGCAACATAGAAGCAGACCTTTACCAACATAAAGTGTAGGAGCACCTTCAGCTGAGGAGCCTACTGGCTGTCATTGAGATGCTTTGCATTTTTGCTGAGAGTAGAACTACCTCCTTGTAAGGCCATGCTGCAAGCTCCAAAACTTTTTTTGCTAAAGAACTAAATGCTCATGCATTTCACAAAATTTACAGTAAAGAACTGCTAATGCTCAGAAAGCTACATTTTGAGTCCCTTCTCAGCACACATACCGTTCAACACAGTTCAGCTCCTCACTTCAGCTGTTTTCCCATTTCAAAGTCATTGTCTAGATAGAATACTGCTATGGAACTTTTTATTCCTAATTAAGTTTCTCAATTAAGTATATTAATATCTCTGCATTAAGTATTGGCAGTACCAAATGATAAGTAATTACTCTGTCAAGAAATGGTGCCATTGTAATGAAATCCACAATTATCAGAAGAGTCAGGTATCTAAAAAAGAGCAACAACATCTGCATTTTTATTCTGGAAGGCAGTTCATGTAGATACAGCCAGTGTAAATCTCAGCCCCATACAGGTTTATGTCATCTCAGTGTCATCTGACTTCTTTCCAGAAGGGAATTAAATTTAAGGTTCTGCTATGCGTGAACAAGATTTTAAAAACATTAGAGATGGCTTTATAAATACACCAGCTCAATGTTCAGTTATCATACAGGTTTTAAGAGTTACTAGGAAATTAATGGGGGTGAGGGGGGTGGGGGGGACGACACAGGACACACCACCCAAACATTGTGGAGCTCCATGATGTACCTGTGTATTGAATTCTCGGTCTTTCCCACCCTAAAAAGACACTGGAAAACTGAACAATATGCAGATAGGCATCTCCAGTGATCAAAGAACAGAGAAGCTTTTGGGGAAAAACACCTAAGCATATTTTTCAGCCTAGAGAAGACACAACTAAGTTTCAAGTACAGATATGGTAGTGGTACACAGGAGCACTTGTAGCACAAGAAAAGAGAATAAAGCATGATTATTCTCCATTTCCAGTAATACAAAAACCAGTAGGTGTCCGTGTGGCTTCAAAAAAGCCATCTTCTACATGTATTGCTGAACTCATGACCAGATGGCACAGCAGACACTGGAAGTTTTAATGCATTCAGGGAGTGACTAGGTAAGTTTATTAAAGAAAAACTCATTAAAGCAATTACCTACAAAGACACCATTTCCTTTTCAGGAAGTCCCAAAGCTGCAAATTACACTGGATAAATATTGCTATCCAGGTGCAACTTTCCTGTATTCTTCACTAAAAATCAACTGCTGGCCACCACAGGAGAAGAGTTTGGGCTAAACAGACTTCACTTCTGGCAAATACAGCTCTTTTATATTCAGTGACCAAAACATCACTAGTTAAAAACTGCATGGATCCCAACCATGTATTTTTTCTTCTACAACAGGATATTCGCCCTATCTTACTTTTTCCATATAACATCTCCTTTGACTAGTAACATTGCTAGAAAACAATCTGCAAGTCCAAAGATCAAGTAAACCCATCATAATTCAACATGTGTATGTATGTGTCAGCTAACCCTTTCCTTACATAGCATCAATTTTACTATTTTCCTCTTCAAGTTTCTAGATTAATTGACCCCGCCTACTTTTAAAGATGCATTCTCTTATCTTTGGTGCCCTGCCAGCAGCAGAGGCAGTTCTGCCACCATCACATTTCTTTTCCCAGCATATGCAGAGCAGCAGCAGCATCTCTTCTTCCCCTTAAGCAGCAGAGTTTGGATTCTCAGTTTCTCTTCTAAAAACCTCCCACCCAGATGGCCCACAGATGAACTTCTGCAGAACAATAAAAGCGTTTTGTCAATCTGCCACTCCCCAGTACCGAAGTCATTCTGGACTGCAAATTCCACGCTGTGGCTAATGTTCTTTCACAGAAAGCTTAAAAAAATACATACTGACTATTTAGTAACTGGCTACCCATGGCTAGAGTAACAGTTGTGCCCAATGGTATTTCATATGCCATCTTTACTTGAATAGGTATACGGCACAGCAACGACAGTCCCTCACACACTGAAACTATCAAGGGACAGTTTAAAAAAACAAGCTAGGAATTAATGGCTTAGAAGACTGATGAAATAGGAGTTTCAGATGATCCAGGTAATTCTTATTATAAATTACTACTGTTAGGAGAACAGTCTTCAACTTACTGTAGTAACTTTGTCATACCACATTGTTATAAGAAAGCCTTTCGTCAGATTCAACTAAGTGTTGTATGCATAGATTCCCTAACAGTCACAGGTGGATGTCCCCAGACGAAGCAAATCCTTTCCTATATCCATGTGCATGGTCAGAAGCTGTTGTCTACCAGTCCATGAGCACAAGAAGTGAAAGAAAACACAACCGAGTGGTTGTCTAACAGTTTTCAATTTAGAAAGCAATAGCTAAAATTGAAGCAATGCTTCACACATCCCTGTCCCAAGCACCTTCACAAAACAGCTGTTTTTACTCTGGGAGTGCTAGGTAACTAACATTAGCTTTTCCACTAGAGCTACTCACCTCGTAGTTTTCTCGTATCCACAGTTGCCGTTCAAGAAAGGTTTCCTTCTGATGATCTTCTAGGCTGTCAAACTGAGACTGAGACATTTTCATGTACCTTCGTATGATATACAGCTTCTCTTCCACACCGTACTCTTGCCCTTTAATAGTGAAACGATAAATCCACCAACAGTACCAAACTATGTATTTGCACAAGTAAAAAGGAGCAAGAATGATCTGAAATAGAAGGATATCATATATCCTGGGCTTCTGGTAACCACCTTTTATATCTATTTTATTTTTAATGATGTCTTTGATGATTTCTTCCTCTTCTTCACGGATTTCTTCTTTAGACCGCCTGTTCTTGCCTTTTTCTTTAGTCTTGTTGAGTAAACCTTGCTGCCTGGCAATCTCAGTAGCTTGTATACGGTATTTTGGCACTGTTGCTAGGTAATTGATAGCTTCATTGTAACTACTCCACCAGCTGAAGAACTGTAATTGAAGAACAATAAAAGTAAAAAACCCATGATTTTATACAGACACATTCCTATTTGGAGGTTTGCCAAGAAAAAAAATAATAACGCTGTCATACCCCTTTAATCACAATTACATTACCGCAGTTATAATTATTCCTCCAAACTTAGTAAAGCATCTGGAAAACAGATGTATAGATGTGTATCTCACAGCAATATACAGCAATGAGGAAGGACAAGCAGACACTTCAGGTTGGTTTTGTTCACAAGAAAATAGTAATCTCCTGAAAGTTAATGCTAGGCTGTGCCAGCCATTCTCAGAAGCTCCCTGTGCTGGTTTTGGCTGGGATAGAGTTAATTTTCTCCATAGCAGCTTGTAAGGGGCTATGTTTTGGATTTGTGCCGAAAACCGTGTTGATAACACAGGGATGTTTTCCTTACTGCTAAGCAGTACTCACAGAAGAGTCAAGGCCATTTCTGCCTCTCACCCCACCAGCTGAGTAGGCTCAGGGTGCACAAGAAGTTGGGATGGGACACAGCTGGGACAGCTGACCCCAACTATGGATTTATAAATAAAGTAGCTGGTATAGGAACATTTCATTATAAAATTGTTATCCATTTAAAATAATTAATTAAACATGGATTAAGTACCTGGCAATCTCATTAGTCTGACAGGATTCACTTCACAAGATTCAACAACCCTCTCTAACCTCCAGTTACCTGCTGAATTTCAATGAGGACCAAAAACCCCAAACAACAAGTCTGAAATATACTGCCTGGGGTGAACATGTGTACTGGCACAACTTTTTAAAAAAAAAAGCATTTCACACCATTCACCAAGACAAACAGTGGACATATACACTTTATACAACCTTAACAAAGGCCAAGAAGCAGAAATAACAGAAAGCGAGAGAGAGGCAAATCAGTTTACACAGAATTTATTCAGTTTACACTGAATTTGCAATCATCTGGCAGCTGGACAGCAGGAAAGTGACTCCACTTACAGCCAAAATAAGAAATAAGAGGTGAAATGAAACTCTGCCATTGGAAGCAAGTCTGAAGAGAAATAAGGTACTTGATTGAATATGCCATTGGAATTTATTATTACAAGCTGTCAAACTCTGATCAACATATTTTTGTTTTATCTTCCAATATCCCACTAAAAAGCGAGCTATCTGCACCACAGAATAAGCTGCCTCACTGACACTGTTTAACACCTGGCACATTATGAGAGCTACAGATACTTCTCTTCCCACTCAGAAACTCACTGAGCAGTGTCACATAAACATGGAATTTTACCTGGAACACGGAGATGGCACACACCGTAACTAGAATCACTATCCTGACATCCACTTTAGGTGCCAATCTCCTGCTGTAGTAGTGATAGTAATGCCTGTAATACTCTTCAGGATGATCCAACATGTAGTCATAATCTTTACGCATCTCTTCATCCTGCAGGATGAGATGAAAAACATGCACGGGTTCAGATTCCTGTTTTCACTTACTCTGTTATAGCTGTGTTTTACACCTCATTAATGACCATGCTGCTGTAAAATTGGAAGTAGCTCGACCAACTATGAAGCACAGAGGAAAATCTTTGGTCCTTTTCTCATAGTCTCTATTAATTTGTTCTCACACTCATCTGCCCACACACATCTCACATATGTGGTCTTAAACGCGTAAGCACGCACTGCATGAAGACATTTAACACTGAAATAAAGACAGGCAACTGAAATCCAGATAATAAGGATTTTTAACTTCTGAATGGGAAATCCAGATGGACTAGAGTTAGTAAATATCACTCAGGAAAAGACTTTCAGATGAAGAGCCTGTTAAGAGCTTGTTTTACAAGTCTTTAGAATTAGCTTACAGGGCTGTGGAATCTGTCCAGTGGAAGACCATTTCAAAACCTCATTGTTCGCATTTTCTCGGGAGTTTTTCTCATTTTCACCCACATAATTAAGAAGTGAGAAATCTAATTTTTTCAGCCTCAGCTGCATTCCTTTCCTACCCGCAAAAAAATTCCCTTTTTTCTCCCTTGCAGCCTTAAAACACTTACAGGTTTCTTCCTCCCATTCCTGAGTTCCATCTTTGCCAAGCCACACATATTTTGCCCTGATAAGCCTCCCTTACAGATCCCATATGCTACTCGAGTCGCTGTTACTTTTTCGTTTAAAGGTATACCTCTAAGATAAAGCCCAGCCGGTTCATTTTAAATACAACGGGATTTCCAAGAGAAAACAAATCCTACATACAACGGGATTTCCAAGAGAAC